TATCTGAATCAATGCAGATGGTTGTACCGTACTTTAAAAAAGAAAAAACACATCCTCTGAAAATAAGCCCTAGGGTGTCTTCTTGAGGAAAAATAAATATAAGACCCTGTCTTATTTTGGGGGGAAACGTGGTATATACATACACACACACACGTGCACACACACACACACATATATATATCAAGTTGCTTTATAAAAGTGAATATATTCAGCATCAGCAGACCTCAGAAAAAGACCAGAAATCCAGCATATCTGCTGAATCTAGTAAATTACCCACATAGACCCATTTCTTTCTCTTCTTCAACAATATCCAAACTCCTGGTGGATTGATACATTACATGTAAGCAAGAAAAATGCAGAACCACTTGGAGTAAGAGAGAGGAGGGAAAGGTTGGAAGCAGTGAATATAAAACTAAGGCAGGGATGTAGACTTCATTGCACAGTCCAAAGGCAATTTAAGTGACAGTGATTTCTACATTATCTGCGCTTTTATAGCACTCAGACCTGCTTTTCCTTCTATCAGTGGAGAGAACTGTACATCTTTCTGGTTCCGCCGAGAGGCCTGAATCACCACTTGGAAACATCAATCACGTCTTTTAAGGTTCATATCCACCGTAAAAAGCCTCCAGCAAAACAAGAATGCACTAACCTGTCTCCCGTTAACGGCAGAATAATGGTGGCTTGAGAAGAAAACACGATGAAAGATAATCTCATTTCAGGGCTGCAACGTAAGAAAAGAGGCAGTTAGAACATTTTGGGGAAGAAACAGGGATAGATGCAGGACAGATGCATCAGAGCCAGGGAGTCGCGCGTAAAAACCGGTCTCAATCGTAAGGGTCCAGGATCCATTTAAAATGTCATTCCCTAAAGTAGGTAAGACTAACTCTGCTCAGTGTCATTGCGTAAGTCGTTTTGCACTTGGTCGATGTTTCTCAGCCCTCAGATACTTTTCCATGACCCATAAGGCCTTGCCTTTAGAAGAAGACTAACTGGACAGATAAACTCTTGGCTGATGTGTAAGATTCTTTCATTGGTGTCCTCCCTTGTTTATTGTTTTTTTTTTTTTTTTTGGAAGGAGGCTTAGATCGTTGAGAGTAGCTTATTGACTTTGATGACCACAATATTATAGTCGTACCGTAAACAGGTCATCAATGAGTCAAGAATCTTAAAGAATGCCAGGGGAGACGAGAAAGAAACTAACAAATCGCTTTGCAAAGAGGAGCTTTCTCACTTCCTCCTGTGTATCAAACCATCTCTTCCAATCATCAAAAAAACTCCAGCCAACAAGCTACTCTGGTGGAGCTTGGGGCATAAGTCCCGAATGGTTCTTGTCTCGCGACACTCGTGCCCACTGTGAGTTAACATCAAACCCATCAATGAGGCGGAAACTGAACCTTGGTCCACCACATGCGGTCAGAATTATCCTCAGTGGGTTTAGCGTATTTAAAACAACCGTAGTCACCTGTGTCACTTCTGCAATGTGTCTCATTATCCATGAAGCGGCTAAACCTGTGGTGCAGACTCCCAACTTGAAGCAGACCGGCAAAATCACAACAAAACCCCCTCCCTTAAAACGTCGTACGAAACGCATGGCTTCGGCGGATCACGTAGACACGCTTGACAGCACTAAAATCAAATGAAAAATTTACAAACAACCTGCCGTCCTGCCTTTGCTTTTAAGGTTGTCGGGGGCCTTGTTTTTTTATTTTTTTTTATTTCGGCATATTATGGGGGTACAGATTTTAAGGTTTTTATATAAATGCCATTTCCCCCCTCTCCCTAAAAGTCGAGTCTCCAGCATGACCATCCCCCAGATGGTGCACATCTCACTTCATTATGTATTCCTATAGCCGCCCTCCCCCTGCCAATACCTATTACTGTAGTACCTATGTGTCCACTTAGGTGCTGCTCAGTTAATACCAGTTTGCTGGTGAGTATATGTGTGCTTGTTTTTCCATTCTTGGGAAACTTCAATTAGTAGTATGGGTCAGCTCTAACCAGGAAATAAAGATGTGCTACATCACCATTGTTTTAAGCTGAATAGTACTCCATGGTATACATATACCACATTTTATTAATCCATTCTTGGATGATGGGCACTTGGGCTGTTTCACAAGCCTTGCTGATTATGAATTATGCTGCTATAAACATCCGAGTGCAGGTGTCTTTTTTGTAGAGTGTCATTGGATTTTGGTAGAATGCCAGAATGGATTGCGGATCCAATGGTAGATTCACTTGTATCGCTTTAAGGCCTTGTTTGCTTTTTTCTTGCCTAGCTAGCTCTACCTCCAGGCCCCGTCCAGAAACCGAGTGTCATGCTTGGCTTCTTTAAGCAGGGGACCGATGACTGAGCACGGACAGGCATACATTTTTATGGGGATAACTTCATTGCTGCCAATAACCACAAGCAAGGATTGCCTAGGCCTCTACAGATTGTTTGAAGCAACTTGTAACACGACTTTCAAAATGTTTTGATCATCCAAGCCTGTTTTACAGAAAACATTTGGGCTAACAAGACTGAAAGAAGCAATATTTAATGATACAGTTCCTATTCGTGTCCTTTCCATTATCTTGATAAACTTGTGTTTGCTTGTTGCAAATTTTTTTTTTCCTACATAAAAAAAAAAAAAAAAAAAAAGAGGAGAAAATAAAAAGCCTTAGAAGCCTGGCTTATCCTGGGGTTATTTTTAAAAATAGGAGATGCCACTAATTTCTGGTTACCTCTAAATAAAAGAGCAAGCTGGATTTCGTGGCAGGAATGCTTTTTATAGGACAGGAGGAAACCAGTGTCTCTTTAGGGAGGCTCATTGTATATATAGAACAGTTACATTTTAAACTCACCCACACGTTGTGTAAACACAAGTCATTTCTTTGAACACACACACAAACATGAGTGCCTTTTCTAGTATTGGGTTATTAACACGTGTTCATTTGAAGTTTTCCAATACTTTTTTTTTTTTTTGATGAGGACCTCTACGATACTAAGAATTAAATGATGCGGGAAGGAAAACCTTATTACGGATACTATTAGCATAAAATGTATTTTTTTTTCCAATGTGATAAATTACGACGAGGCAAAACTGAAATTCGAAACAGATCGAACTTCGGAAAGGAAACAGGCGTTTGGAATAGTGTTTGGAGGTGCTTCTTTCCCGGAGCTTGGGCCAAGTTTCTGGGACCCAGCTGAAACCAACCCTCAACAACTACAGGGTTGTTCTACTACCAAACAGCTGTGAGCAATAAAGACACCCGAGGCACTTTTAAAAATAAATAAATAAATCAACATTTCAGAGGAGGTTTTTTTTCCCCCCAGCAAAAGGTTTCAGAAAAAGGAAAACAAAAAACAAAACAAAAAAAAAAACCCTGCACTTTGGTGTCTACTTCTCTTCCACCGTGTAGAAAAAGCAAAGTAGAAAACACACCTTACAAATCTCTCCGCCAGTTGCTGCACAAAATCATAAATTTCAATCCAGTTATTGGCCACGCTCCCAGACCTGGGGGAAAAAAAAAAGAAAAAAAAAATGAAATCGAGGTGATCAGGGAAACAACAAAGCGAGGCACTGACATGTAAACATCTCAAACCAAGTTCCTTTTGCAATATCTGGAAGAAAGACAGGCAGACAGGGGGAAAGAGCCCTGGCCCCTTGGAGCAAGGTTAAGGAGATCTGCAACTGCAACTTTGATGCCACCAGGAGTCAGGACAGGCCAGCCCAGCTGCAAAGACTACCTGGCTGCCAAGGGTCTAGCAGGGGGTCCTCAAACTTTTTAACCAGGGGGGGGCAGTTCACTGTCCCTCAAGACCGTTGGAGGGCCGGACTGTAGTTTAAAAAAATAATAATAAACTGTGCACAAATTCCTATGCACACTGCACATATCTTATTTTGAAGTGAAAACAAAAAAACCAAACAAACAAAAATGGGCAAAAACACCCACATGTGGCCTGCTGGGGAGGGGAGGCCAACCCAGCTCTCCCACATAAACATATAAAAGCCTTGCTTTGCAAAGGAAAGCAAACCACACTGGGCATCTTATAGCTCTGGGGTTTTTTTTTTTTTCCTCACTTGCAAGAACAAGCGCTGTGATCAGGATGGACCCGAGCAAACTTGAGCCAGACAGCGGTGTGGATGGGTGGGAGGTGAGGGGAGTGGGGGGGAGGGGACACAGGAGGGCAGGAGAGAGAGAGAGACAGAGACAGAAAGACAGAGAGAGAGAGAATGAAGGGGAGAGACAGAGACAGAGACAGAAAGACAGAGAGAGAGACAGAAAGAGACAGAGAGAGACAGAGAGAGAGAAGGGGAGAGAGATAGAGAGACAGAGAATGAAGGGGAGAGAGAGAGAGAAGGAGAGAGAGAGACAGAGAGACACAGAGAGACAGAGAGAGAGAATGAAGGGTAGAGAGAGACAGAGAGAGACAAGGAGAGAGAGACAGAGAGAGAGACAGACAGAGAGAGACAGAGAAGAGAGACAGAGAGAGAGAGACAAAGAGAGAGACAGAGAGAGACAGAGAGACAGAGAGATAGAGAGAGAGAGACAGAGACAGAGAGAGGAGAGACAGAGACAGACAGAGAGACACAGAGAGAGACAGAGACACACAGAGAGACACAGAGAGAGAGACAGAGACAGAGAGAGAAGAGAGAGACAGAGACAGAGAGAGACAGAGAGAGACAGAGAGAGAAGAGAGAGAGAGACAGAGAGAGAAGAGACAGACAGACAGAGAGACAGAGAGAGAGA